GTGCTGGGGGCTGCATGGGTGTTGGGGGAAGATCTTGGCTATGTTTGCAGAAAGAAGCCAGTGTGAAGGTCCAGGGAAGGAGGCAGGGGAGTGCAGGTCAGTCCCAAGGGGCAGAGGACATGGGTCCAGACCAGCTGTCCCCAGCTGTGGGTTCCAGAGCAGCTTCTGAAATATTCACACTCCTGGTGCCACCCCAGAGAGGCCCGTTCAAATTCCTGGTCCCAGCCCAGAGGTCAGAAGTGGAATCTCTGGTCTGGGGCCCAGGAACCTGCATCTAAAACTCACGGGTGCTTCAAAGAAGAGCCAGGCTTCTGGGAGCAGGGAGGCACACCTGTAATCCCAGGAGCTCGGGAGGCTGAGGCAGGAGGATTGCAAGTTCAAAGCCAGCCTTTGCAACTTAGCAAGACCCTAAGCAACTTATTGAGACCCTGACTCAAATGAAAAAATTAAAAAGGGCTAGGAGTGTGGCTCTGGGCTTAAGGGCTCCTGGGTTCAATGCCTGGTGCCAAAAAAGGAGGAGGAGGAGGAGGAGGAGGAGGAGGAGGAGGAGGAGGAGGAGGGGACAACAAGCCAGGTTTGGGGAGAGGATATTGTAAAGCTGGAGTGGAGAGAAAGGGGCACCAGGAGCTAAGATTGATGCTCCACAGGCAGCGGGCAGGCACACGTGCAGGCATTACAGGGCGGGGGACGGCATGGTGAAGCAGGTCTGCATCCAGCCAGCAGCGGAGCTGGGCAGGGAGAGGAGTGCAAATCTCAGCTGGCCACTCGGAGCATCTGCCTGTGGTGTTCATTCCCATTGTCCTCCTAGGCACCAATTCTTAGCATTTGACTGCATAAAGCCTCACCAGGTAAGTGACATTTATTTAGAAGGGGCATGTGTTTCACATCCAGCACAGGCGATGCTGCTCTAAATTAATCAAGCCAATAGCTTATTTTTGTTGTTGGGTGGGTTGTAGATCTTACGACAGAATCAGGCAAGTGAAACGCTGCCGGCTGTAAACTTGATCTTATTGGGAAAATGTCCATTACCCAGCTAAAAACATCAGTTAATAGGTGCTGCCCTTCAACAACTGGTGACAACAGAGTCCTGGGTGGTGATAACAATGACATTATGTCTCTTTCATCACCTGTGGGTTCTTTGTGTTGCCAATTAGTGCCGCGAGTCACTCGGAGACTCTAGGATGGACAGGGGCCCCGCCACACACGGTGCTGTCACTGGAGGTCCCCATCTGCTTTAGGACGCCCAGTCTCACTGGTGGGGAGAATACTCAATTTTAGGAACTAGGGAAATCCTGGGAACCTAACTCTGGTGGACAAGTTGCTAATCCAGCTAGCTGATTCCAACGGGGACATTTGCTAGACACCCCGGGGCGTGTCTACAGCGCCAGGCTCTGAGTTAGGGGCTGGGAATGCAGAGACAAACATGACCCTCATCCCCCAAGAGTTTTGGCAGCATCGTTGAAATAAGCAAAGCGCCCTTCCCAGGCCCCCCACTGGAGAAGACAGCTCTCGTGAATACATGAGTGTGGACGTTTTTAAAACCTGCCTGTCCTGTCCTCTCTGAATGTGTGACCCAGAGTAGACCGAGTCTGCCACTTTAAGGGACTGCTACTTATTATCCTAGATCCTGTAGAGGTTTTGGATCGGGTGTAGGAAATTTTCACGAGAACCCAAATTTCACGTCGATTTGTGATGGATTAGCATACCAAAATTGGCTTAAAGTGCACTTAATGGATGCATTACTGCAGGAGGGATCCGCCTAACCAGAGTATTTCTAAATTTATGAAATTGAAATGCACTTCAGGTTACCGAGCAGTCTAAATTTGTCAAAGTCACAGGGCTGGGAGGCAGGTCATTGCTGGTGGCAGAGGTGGCAGAAATCCGAAGCCAGGGCTGTCAGAATGAATTTGAGAGCCTAGGCAATGACCTCCAGGTCATACRGTGGCAGAAGCAAGCCCAGGTCTCATGAGCCTCAGTGTTTACTGAGCCCCTGTGCCTGGGAGGCAGGGTGACCTGCTGGTCCAKGCTTCCCTCTGCCCCACCGCGCGTCCCTGAGGGTTCAGTTTACCCACCGCTCGCTTGAATTCATTGGCACCAGAGCACTYGGATGGCACGGGAGTGGCCTTTGGTCTTTTCCTGAGTGTTTGGTTTCTGAGTCTCCGTCTCGTGGCCTGGTAAATAGGGACCAGCAAGACTGACTGGAGAAGGCTGCTGTGAAGGTGATGACGCAGCCTGGGAACAGCTTACAGCCTGCTCGCACACGGGCGCTTCCTCGGGCTCTTTCCTTGCGGGGTACGGAGTCTTCGCCATCCCAGTGGCTCCAACACGTGGCATATAGCAGGTGTTCAGGGACAATCTGCTGAAGGAATGAATCAGTCAGCATGAGTTTTGAGGATCCTCTAATTTTCTGATGTCCCTGCACTCTCTTATAAAATCTCCACTCACGTTATACTTGTTCCCTGACTCAGCTGATTAACAAACACTTAATATGTGACTATTATGGGCAAAACTACTTTTAGTAATAATGATTACTCATAATACTATTATTTTACTAATAATAACAAATATTTTAAGCTCTGATGAGGGCTCAAAAATTACACTTGGTATTTTTCAAATATCTATCATTATTCTGCACATCAGCCCACTGAGGAAATGCATCAGTCAGCTACTGCCACAATAATGCTGTGTAACAAAATGCTGGCATTCAACGACTTAACAACAAGAAGCATTTTTTCCACCCTTGTTTATGTGCCTGCAGGCCAGCTGAATTGGTTCTGAGTCCAGCTCCAAGTGGGGTGACTTGGTTCCAAGCTACCAGTTGAGTTCAGGTCTGCTCCATGGGTGCTGATTCTAGAGCCTTGCTGGAAGGGACCGCTATTATTCAGGATGCATTTTTCTCATGATGTACTACCAGGATGTGAGACAGCAAGCCCAGCCTTGCAAGCAAATTTCAAACATATTTCCTTAATATCTTATTATGTAAACAAGACAAAAGTCAAGGGACAGAGACTCACAGTCCATGCCACAGGGATGTGACAGGATGTGAATGCATAGTGTGTCTGCTGTGTGTGGGTATGGTTTGCCGGTGTACCTCAGAGGTTCATGTGGTGACATCTAATCCCCATGTGAGGTATTGAGGGTAGAAATTTAATTCTTACTCTAATGTTTAGAGGCAGGGCCTTTGGGAGGTGATTAGAATTAGATAAGGTCATCAGGGTGGAGCCCCGATGATTGAATACTTGTGGCTTTATAAAAAGAGGGAGAGAGACCAAAACATTACCTCTCTCTCTCTCCCTCTCTCTCTCTTGGATTCCCTGAGCCAGCAAGAAGGCCATCACCAGATCAGACTCTTGAGTCTTTAGAATTGTGAGCTAAATAAACTTCTTTTCTATATGAAGCTCTCAGCTTCATGTATTTTGTTACAGTGACAAAATGGACTAATGCAAGCACCACGGGAGAATGAATAGCTAGGATCAATAATTCAACGTGCCACTGGTTGGTACTACTGTCAGTCCTAAACTGAAGCACAGAAAAGAGTGACCTGCCCAAGGTTACTCAGTAAGTGACAGAAATAGGACTAAACCCAGGCAATGTAACTCCATAATAATGGAGGCCTACGAGTCATACCCCGGGAAAAGGATGTTTATTTTCTTAAATTGTCTGGTTTTTTTTTTTTTTTCCCCACAAGTTGCCAGTGCTCTGTCAGCACCAGTCCCTCTCATGGTTACATATCCATCTGTCCATCTATTCAACCCATTCACACATGCCTGGCATTTGGGTTTTTCTCTCAGCTCTGCAGAATAACAGGTCCAAGTGCAATTCTTGGATAAGCTTTTGAAATTAATGTTGAGGGGGGAAAAATCACCCTCCAGTTAATCTTAGCCACATGTATAAATACCTTTGGAAAGTCCCTGGTGGAACTCATATCAAAGCGGCACCGAGATTTTACTTAAAAACAATTTGCTCCATGTCAGCCGTGATTTCTGACACCTGAATTTGAAAGTCCTCTGGGTGGGCCCAGTGCCGTCTCCATAACAGGGCATGTGTTTGCTTGGAGAGAACAGAGGAAAGACGGCCGTATGTGTGGCCACAGAACAAGGTTCCACATGCCCTTACAGGAGGGGATTTCCTCCTTGCTGTTTCCATAGAACCTTCCCTGTGTTTGCTTAAACCTGCTGCACGMTCTGGTCTGACACATGCGTGGCCCAGAGCCTTCCTGGCAGACGCCTGCACAACTCACCCTCTTTAACAGCAACCTGCACTGTGTCCCCCAATGCAATTACTCGAGTACATAAACCTCACTGAAAGGCAGGCTTTTCTTGGGAGCTAATAAATAAGCCCCAAAGCCACAACATGTGTAAGACCTAGAAAAATGGCATCATCATCTATTGGGAATTGTGAACCCTGCAAAAACAGCTCATTGTATTTTCAGAAAAAGCTTTTTGTTTAAAAAAAATAATAAAGAACAAAAATCACCAAGTGGAGTCTATATGGAAAAAGCAATCTCGTCTGAGATTCTAGGGCAGGTCTCATTGCTGCATTAATCCTTCTTCACAGATTTTATGTAAGAGGCATTATTTGCAGGAGAACAAGACAGGGTTTTAAAGAACCCCGTCTCCTCCAGGGTTCCCATCTGCAGTTATAATCCTCTGATTGTGACCTCTGAATTAGTTGCCACGGATGCTGAGCAGAAGTTTACCACCTCAGGGTGCTAATAGCTTCTGAGGGGAAGGATGAAACCTTCAGCAGTAAACAGAAAAGTGGGGRAAAACACCCTCTGGAGCCACCCTTCACACCTGGGCCAGCACTCTACAGTTTAGGAAGCACTTTTCTGATTGCTTTAAGGAACAGGGTGCTGGCCTCCGGCCATGGGAACATGGGCAGGCGGAAGACTGCAGATTCATTTCTGTCCTCAGTTCCCTGGGAGGCTAGGTTTGGTGTTCTAAGAGCCCGAGCCAGTCTTCCAGTTTCGGGTCTTTCCATTTACCATGCTGTCTGCAGCCCAGAGTTGGGGGAAATCCTCCATTGGAGCCATCCTTTGCCCCAGGGCCGTCCAGGTGGCTCCCTAGAGCAGCCGCCTTGGGGTCACTGCAGCAGGCAGTGCGCTCCAGGTCCCGCAGAGCCTTACCTCCACCAAGAATCAGATACACTGGGCCAAGGAGCCAGACCAGCCTTCACAGGATGCAAAAATACAACAGAGGGCGCCGAACCCACCAGCGCCATGGCCTTGAATATCAATGTATGGGCTAGCTCCAGACCGCCAAGTTCCTTAAAAATGTCTCTGGCGGGGGTCCCTGCCAGACTTTCGGGGTTTCGGTTTGCTATTTGCAACCACCACATCACACAAACAATGTTTACTTGGAAGAGGAGGGGGCGGAGACCAAACCCACCGCTTGGCGCACACGCCTTGATCTCACATTCCAGACTCGAGCTGATGTGTGTCAGCGCGACATGGGGCGGGGGGAGGGTTCTATTCGGATGTTTCATTCGCCATCTGCACGTCACTCCCAAACTTTTCCTCCCTGCGCTCTGGGAGTCAGGTTGACGCTCGCTGGATGCGGGGCTCCAGGCGCGGTGCTGGGCGCGCTCCCGCGGAGCTGGAGCTGCAGAGGAGGCTTCCGGGAGGATCTCGAGCTTTTCRGGTACAAGTTGGGTGCTAGGTGCCGGGGTGGGGGCGGCAGGGAGCGGCGGACGAAGGTATGGCTTCGGGCTCAAGGCTCCGGCGCCCCTCTGCGGGTTCGGGCTGGGTAGCGCCGGCGGCGGCCTGGGCTGGGCGTTCGGAGTCCGGGCGGAGGAGGCTGCGCGCAGTCTCACTCCCCTCGGCGCTCCCGGCGCGGAGGCGGCGGCGGCCCAGGCAGACAATGAACTTGCGAGCGCGCGGAGCCGAGGCAGATTTGGGCCCCGCGCCTCTTGGCCTGGCCTCCCCGAAGCTTCTGCGATCCCCAGCGGGAGGCGTCTCCTCGCCACTGGTGTTGGCCGCGCTCCGGGAGCCCAGTGCGCTTGGGGACCCTGCGGGAAGGGCTGCCTGTTGGCTGCGCCGGGGCTCACACGCCCCCTCCCTACCCCGAGAGGATGTGGCCGGAGCTAGGGGACTGGGGACCTGGCGGTGGCGTGGTGGCGCTGTGTATAGCTGGAGGCTGGTGGAGGGCGCAAGCTGCGGGGCACGCACTGGCCGGCTGTCCTGCTGAACCAACCTCCCCAGGAGCAGGAATCGGGGCGCCCCTGCGCTGCCACCGTCTGGGACTTGCAGAGGACGGACGGACTGACAGAAGAGTGATTTCACGGTGCAAGCGCGCCCTGGATAGTGTCGGGGACTGAATTCCCCCTGCCGTGCGCTCCTCACCCCCAATCCCTCACCCCCAATCCCGCTCCCAGTTCACTTCGGGGAAGTTTCCCGGCGCGGCCCAGGGCAGGTAGGTAGGCATGGGCTACTCTCTCTCAGAGCTCCGGCTCGGAGCCGCCTTCAGAATCTCAGCTCGTCCTGCAGCCACTCCGGGCGGGAAGGCAGAGGGTGTCTGGCGCCGACGCTCTTGGGAGAGGGGACCGCGAGGACCGGCCTGGGAGAAGATGAGGGCACATCTGAGCCCCGCGCGGCCTGAACTTTTGCTCCCGCCTTTCCTCCCCGCCCCCGCCCTTCGTCCCCGGTTCTCTTCCCGCGCCCCGCAGCGTCTCCGGAGGCGGCGTGACTCGGGAGTAGCCGGCGCTTCTCCGCCGTCCTCGGCCAGTCTGGGCGCGGCGAACCGAGCGAGGAGGTCTGAGCCGCGCTGCGGGGCAGCAGCTCGGAGCCGGGGCTGCAGGCGGCGAGTCSGGAAGGCAGCCGCCCCGGCGCGGGGGCGACGCTGGCAATTGTGATGGAGAGCTAGTCCGTTGGGCTGTGCCTGCCAGTGCGAGAGGACGCGGCGACTGAGGGTGCCTGGTGGCGGGTCGTGGCGCAGTTGACCCGGCGGAGCTCCTGGGATCGCGGAGGGAGGCGCCGAGGTGGAGGGAGCCCGGCCTTCCCGGGAATGAATGGAGAGCTGGGGAAGCGCCTTCCGACTCCCACTCTGGGAGAACCTACTGGCCGACGCGCGCGCGAGAGTGTGGTGTGTGGGATTCGGAGCCGCCTGGGTCCAGGCACCGCAGTTTGACTGCCGGGTCGCTGTCTGGGTGCCCACGTTGCTTACCAGGGAGAGGCTGGCGTTGCTGGAGCAGCGGGTGTAGATGCCCAAGGCTAGGTTGCCGGCTCCCAGCCCTAGACGTCTCTGTTCCCCAAGAAGGTAGCGAGGCTGGGGGCTGGGACCGGCGCCTGCCGGAGGGGGGCTTCCCTGTCTCCCGATGGGAGTCCCCCGTGACAGCTGGGCTTCGTCGCCATGTTCTCCGTGGGTAAGTTAATGGTATGGAGTTTTCCAGAATGAAGTTGTGGCTCCAGGAGATCTCGCTAAGGCATGTGGACAGCATTTGGGGGGGAGGGGGTGGGGCCGGCTGCCCCCAGCCCTTTTATCAGCTTGATTTCTGGATGGTGTGGCCTCTGCTCTGGTTTAGGGTAGCCCCCTGAAAAGGCCTACCCTGAGGTTGCCCAGGAGGAAACAGGCCTAGAGATTCGCKCAAAGTTTCTCTTGGACCCTCCCTGACCATTCTCCACCCAGAGCTTTCTTAACCCCCCTTCTACCACCACAGCAGTGGAAAATAAGGCACCCTTCCTCTCAGAATAGGTCACTTTCCGATGTTCACAAGTGCAGCACAACCAGGATCTCTTGATTGATACATGAAGGCACACAGATTGGATTTTGTTCAAAGTAGCATGAAATAAAAATGCCTTTTTTTTTTTTTTTTTTTTTTTTTTTTTTTTTTTTTTTTTACCAAATAAGTTTTTCTCCTCTCAAACAGATGAAGAACTGGGAGGAATTTTTTTTCCCTTACCTCCTGGATGAGAAAAACGGAGCCTGTTTTCTCTATCAGGCCGCAGGTGAGCATGAGGAGGAGCTGCAGGGCTGGTCTTCCCTCCAACCAACCTCCCCCTTCCTGGGGCAGAAGTTTCAGGGGTCTCTTAAGGCAAACTGAATGGTGTCCTTCTCCCTGTGGGCAGTGACTGATGGGGCCCAGCGAGTGGCATCCAGGATATCATGGTAGGGAGGCTGGTCTGCCTTGTTCTTCTTTGATGGTTAAAGCATGTGACCCCTGGACCTCTGTCCTGACCAGATCTATGGTTCCCATGGCTGCGTTTCCACCCACACCTTTCTCCTCTAAAGGTGAGGTGTCAGAAGAGCCTCTTGGCTTTCCCCATGTCTGAGAGAGAGAGAAGGCCCTGCCTGGGGAAGAAGGGATGTTTTCAGGGAAGGTCGGGCAGGTGGGAGCAGACTCTGCTTATTGGTGACTTGAGAAGAAGCAGGAAAATAACCCCAACTGACCCCAGAGCCGGACAGTGGGGCTGCATGAGGGGCATCTATAGATCATTGGGCTGAGGCAGCTACAGTTCAGGGGGTTGGGGGAGGCTGGCAGGGAGGTATCTTGAACAGGCCAGTGCATGTCCACTCACAGGGGACACCCACCACTCAGCTCCAACCAGTTGGGAGAAAGCAGAGTTTACAGGTCTTGTCAATTTTCAGTACCATTCCCAGGCCTCCATATTGAGGTAGGGTCTCAAATTCAAGAAGTATGGGAGAAGGGCAGGGGCAAGAGCCCTTCCCAGAGTCTAGAGCTTGACATGGGGCCCTGTGTATATGTCAGGAGGGTGTCATATGGTATAGAGGCAGGACACACTAAAGGACAAGGGGAATTACCCCCCATGGGCCAGGTGACTGAGAATTGAAGGCTGCCTGTCATTATAGTGGCTGGTGGGATGGGCGGTGCCCATTGGGTTCATGGGCAAGCCTGCATGTCGGGCCTTCAGTAGCTAATCCACGAACCCCATTGTGTGGACAGCAAGACTCTGCACAAAACCTCTCATATAATTTCATGCCATCACATGGATCCCATGGTTGAGCTTCTGGGGAGGAAACTGTGAGGGTAAGATAAAAAGGGACCCAGCGTTCATGGGAGCATTCAGCATGGGATGACCATCACCTGGGGTATGCACCTTTCGTGTTTAACACCACGGGGGACTTAGCATCAGACAGCATCAGACGATGAGTGGCCCCTGAGTTGCAGTTAGACCTGGAGGGACAAAGCTGAGAAGAAGGATAAGGACAAAGCACAGCAAGGTTCGGGAGAAGGTGGGTTGAGTGGAGGGGTCTCTTCTTGCCACACGTAGGAGCGAAGGCTCAGAACAGCAGAGCGGCTTGCCCAGGTTCACAGAGCTGATAACGGAAGGCCAGCCCCAGCCCCAGGTCCCCCTCTTAGACCTGCCCGCTCAGCACTGCTCCCAGATGAACTGATGCTCCCTGTAGTTGGGAGAGGACCATCTTCTTCTCCACACTTCCTGAACCCTCCCCTTCCTCGGGGCCTCAGCAGGCACAGGATGGCAGAGGTGCCTCCTGAAGGCCATTTGTGGAAGAGAGGAGTTGTCTTAAATTTCTGAAAGAAACTGCTTTTAAAAGTCATAGTTGGCTTGAGAGTGTCATTCCTCTGAGCAATCAGCCAAGGGACATGTCTTTAGCACTATGATTTAGAAGTGACCCTTTCAGTCAGTGGTGAGAACTTTGCAACCCCTCTCCCCTCTGCTCTGTAATTGGGGAGCTCAGGTAGGGTATTGTTACTTCAAAGGGTAACTTTGTTCCCATGCAGTGAATAAAGAGATCATGTTCCTGCAGCTGGCTAAGTACCAGACAGGGTTTGGACTTGCATGATGTATTTCTTTATTGTTCTCAAGTGTTAGGGTCTGATTTCACTACTGAGATGGCTTCCCTTTTAAAACAAAGTGCCAGGGACAAAGTATGTGTATGGATGTGTAGACCTGTGTCCCCACGGAYGGGATGAGGCAGACATGTGGTGGCTCCCTACATGGCATGTCCAGTCTCAACATCCAGGAGGAGAGGTAAAGGGCTTGTGTGGCTTCGGGCCAGCATAGAATTTTTTTTTCTTTAATATGAAAGTTGAGAAGGAAGGTGGTTGATCATAATAGTGGTCACTAACTGTGTCCCTTCAAGTTCACAGCCGGCCTTGTGCTGGACAGGTGCCACGGGTGTATCCCCTTGCTTCCTAAGCTTAGAGGGCTGTGAGGCTGCTGTGGCCCTCCAGAGGTGCAGGAGGAAGGAGCAAGGGCTGACAGCAGAGGCAGGTGGGAATGGGGATGGGTGGGAGGAGAATAATGATTGTGGCTCCAGAAGGAAAAGGCAGGCGTGAATCAGCAAGCAGGGAGGTGGGGAGAGGTGGCGAGTGGGAAGCCGTTTCTCATCTTTGCAGGATTCCAAGGAATGTGGAGGAAAGGGAGCCCAACGGTGGCTGCTGTTTGCAGCAGCGACCTGCAGGGTTATGTGTTCCCCCTCAGTGCAGCCCTGGGCAGGTGCACGGGGGCYGAGAGGCAGCACTCAGCACGCAGTGGCACAGCACTCAGCTCAGTGGGCGAGGCCGAACTTGTGCAAGTCAGAATTATATAATGCTGCTCACAGGCGCCTTGGAGGGGCCTCGGGAAAGTGGGAGCTAGTTGGCGACCTGGAGATTGGAGTCCTCTGGGACGGCTTCACTACCCTCTGGCTCTCATGCCTGTGTGCCATAAAAGAGTGAAGTCCTGCCAGGTACTTGACACAGTACCTGGTATACAATAAGTGCTCAGTAAACATTGATTCTTGTGGTATTCTGTAGCTCTGGAGCTCATAAGCAGGGATGGAAGAATGTCTTCGAGTTTCCAATTACATGCCAAATTATCTATCTATCTAATTCTCGTAGGGGATGGAGAACTGACSGGTTTCAACATCCAGGAGGAGAGGTAAAGAGATATTCTATCTCAAGAAGCATGAGGCCAGACTTTGGTTTGGGCCAGCATAGAATTTTGCTTGTTGCCTTTTTTTGGCTGCCTTGGATTCAGCTGGGGTTCTCAGGCTTTACCTTTCTGGGCTGTTTCCTCACCTGGGACTCTTGCCCCGTGCTCCTGGCCCAGGGCTGTGCCTAGGGAAACATGCACACCCTGCAGATGGTGGCTGCAAGCACAGACGAGTACCTCCCCTTTCCTCCACATCCCTTGGAGCTCTGCAAAGATGAGAAGCTGTCCGAGGCTGGGGTCAGGCTGACCGCGCTCCTGTTTGACGCAGAGGAGAGCAGTCAGCTTTTCGTGGTGAGGTGCTGGCGTGGCTCACTTGGGTGTCATATCTTGAGTCCCTCTCTAAGCTTAAAAGGGTCCTGAGTGGGGGTGTTGGGGCCTCCTGGCCAGGGCAGGCACTCCTGACACCTGTGTTTCATTTCTAGATCTCATCCTGGGCTGGGCCTTTTAGGTTTGTGAGGAAAGTAAGGCTGGCAGATCCTCAAAAGCAGAGGTGTCATTATAATGAAACTTGGACAC